TTTTAGAACATAAGAATGTTTCTTAAGCAAGAGGAGGCTATGTAGCCCATGTAGCGGGTTCAGTAGTTTGATCCAGGGCACTAATACTACTGTCATAGCTACTATCTACTAAAGAGGCTGGAGATCAAAAATGGCCTCCTCTCATTTGTAACTTATATATTGGAGATTTTGGGAACTTTAAGAAAACTGGATTGTTCAAGCACTGAATGGGATTTAGCCAGGACACTGAGGTTAACACCTGTTCTCTTATACACAGTTCCATGAGTTCCTTAATGGCCAAGTAGTCAGGACTGTGGTTTAATGTCTCATTTGCAGTATGGTACCTCAGCATAGTGTCTCCAGTCACCATACTGGAACACTGGTTTAGAAATTCTGGTCCAGAGAGAAGAGCACCACCTCTTGGTCTTTGTTACATCCCAGTACTGACCAAGCCTAGCCTTGCTGAAGATCTGTAGAAAATCACTCAAGTGAAACTTTGAGAACAGTTTTGTAAATGTGTACAAATTGACTGGTTTTAATGGTTGGACGTGATTTCCTGTGTGTAGCACACAACCAAGTCTCTAAAAAGTAATATATTTACATACTCTCAGATTTAATTATGGAACTGCTTTGCCATAAAATATGTTAAGACAGTAGTTTGATGAGCAGAAATTGAAAACTGGAAAGGTGACACAATTCCTCTTATAAATGAAAAAAAAAACTGTCACAGTTTCTCAACTTGTCACACACCCAGGACAATGCTAATTGAGAAGGACATCTGTGTTTGTGTCCACTTTTAATGTGTATTTATGTGACCGGGTGCTGCTGCACTCCATCAAACAATTCATGAGAGGAACATTGTCAAAAAAATCACAAGTTGTTTTCACAAGTATTTGGTTAAATCCCTGGCTCATTTGATCACTGGCTCATTTGAATGTCAGAATCTGAAGTAGGGATGTTTTGTATTTCTTAAACATGCTTATCTTAATGACACAGCATGACAAAACAAAACAAACGAGCCTGTTTATCACGTGCAGGTGGATAATGAGCATCTGTAAGTCAAATTCTCTAGCTTGGCATCCCTGTCATTCTAATCAAGCTTGTTTGCATTTGAATTTGGGATTTACAGTATACCCTCACATTTTGTATTTAAGTTCACAATTGCTATTCACAAAGTAGTCATTGAGCCATACAAAGTATCTGATCTTTCCACCTTTTCACAGCTGATAATTGTCTTGTTAATTGGTCTTTTTTTGACTTGATCAAAGAGCACACTTTTCTGCCGTGACTTTTGTGACACAGAAAAAGCTGTATTCTGATATTGCTTTCATCCAGTCTGCTATTATAACTGAGAGTTCCTTCAGCCATGCATTCATCCCCTGTATTATCAAAGAAAAATGCAATTGGATGGCCCATTTTTTTAGATCTACTCTTCATCTCTTTCAGTTGATTCCAAACTGGGAGAAGCAGAAAAATATATATTAATTTTTCTTAGAAAATATTGGAGAAATGTGAGGTTGTCTGCAGTTTCATGTCCTGAAGCCAAAGGTTCCAGTTTCTAATTTCAACAGCAGACACCTAGCAAGTCCTTACTGCGAGTTGCTCTGTTTCATTTCGGTAAGGTAAGGTCAGATAAACTGAGCACAGTTCGGCTTCAAAAGATTGGCCACAGAAGATATCAGGTTGACCTGAAAGTGTAGATTATGGCTCATTAAACAGTCTTGATGACAGGAGTCTTCGAAACTCATTATTTTGTTTCTAAGGCTCAACCTCACAGCCGCTGTTAGTGAGAGAATGAGGAAAAAAAACTACATGTACCAGGTCAAGAGGTCTTATTGTTCTTCTAGTTCCAGAATTCTGAAATTTTACAAGATTACACGGATGTTAACCAGTACTGAATATGTGTTAACCTTATATTCCATGAACTCAGTACCAATGAAACTGTTACATTTTTTATTTTTAAAACCAGTTTGTTGAATGAGTTTTATAAAACTCTGAAGACACTGAATTGCATATAAAGGATGCATAAAAATGACAACACTGGACAACGCCAATGTCAAACCCTTTTCCATAGACAACAAACTGGAGGGCTTGGCGTGTTCTTTATAAACGTTATATGTTGTTTTCATGATCCAGTTTCTGGAATATGCCAGCTAACTAACTTAATCATTGTTTATAAGTTGACTATCAGTGTATTTTTGCAGTAAGAGAATCCTATTACAGATGTGTGTCTGAAGAGTGGAAACTCTTTTCAGGCATTACCGCTTAAACTTCTGGAATGTGGCTTGTCAGAAAATTTCTCCGGTGCTCATTTTCTTTCTACGGGGGGAAAAAAAAACTTCCCCACAGCATTGTGCAGGACTGGATTGTGTTTCGGTGTCTGTGATTGTTCTCCCTTTAAACGGTATTTTAATCTAAATTAATCTCAGTTACAGCAACTGACTGCAGCAGGCAGATGAGCTGTCTTACCGAAATTAGAAATTTTCTGTGTTTTCTTTATTGGGACTTGAGGAATCAAATACAGCGCAGCATCTCCGCCAGTCCTCCCAACACAACAGCGATGCCCCTGCGGACAGACTCTGGAGGAGGAGCCACTCCAGACTGGACCGGAAGGATGGAGTTCTGCAGCTCCACGATCCACCCCCCTGGCCGCAGGTATCTGGGCAATAGAGAGGGCACGGTGCAAGTCATAAGCAGCTGTTACTCTCCAAAAGTGCTCTCTGGGACTTGAAATCACCTCTCTCCTTTCCCCTGCTTGTTCTTGTAAAACAACAAGGATCTGGCAGAGACCTTTTCTTACGAACATTTGCAAGTTCTTAGGGTTAGCTCTCAGACTGCTTTTTGGTTTTTATTTCTCAATATGAAAGTCTAATGTGGAAGCCGTTCTATAGGAGGGTCTCACTGACCGTTCCATTTCAGAGGATGTATTTTTAATGGCCGTGCTGTCTGCGAGTCCCATGATCGGCTCAGGCCGCAGCACTCGTCTACAGACCACCCTTGTTGCAAACTTTGAGGACCCGGGCAATTTCAGCTGCAAAAGCTACAAATGGCAAATCAAGCTTTTGGCCCCAGACCTTTCCAATCTGGCGTTTAATGTATAATAAAAGTAAGTAAAGTCTAAGATCAAGCCTTGGAGCTCATTAGCTTGGTGTATTACAGGTTTCCGTAGTATGAAGCAGACTGAGAGTACACGACTCCCTTATAGGTGAGGCAGTGTCTTCACAGGCTTAAACCCAGTAATTCTGGGATCTATTTTACAAGTAGGATGACTGGAGCAATTGGGATTAAAGCACTCTGCTTCAGGACACGACAGCAGTGTCTGCAGTAAGGACTTGAATTCCCAAACCCCTGGTTAGGAATCCTTAGAGTCTTGACCTATGCTCTCCACTAATCCTTCAGATTTATGGGTGTGTTAGTAACGGTGATTGAGTGTTACTTTCCGATTGGCTAAAGTGCCGCATGCATGCAAGCTTCTTGAAGAAATTAGAATTTTGACTGTACTTCCTGTGGAAATAAATACATCTCATAAAAAAAGGTACTTTCCAGGTTGCTTTCAAGAGGTCAAGTGACTAGTTATATGAAACAAATCATATTTTATCTGGTCCATGCTGATATTTTACTTTTTCCATGAACCTTGACCCTTCTCACCGCCAGTGTGAATCAGCATCTTTAGACTCTGCACATTTATTTTGGGCCTCTTCTCAAAAGGTGCATATATTTGTGTTTTTCAATGACAGATGGAAAAATACACAGTGAACTAGTGAAATCGAATGGGTAGTGCTAGTAGGAAAGAAGATTAATTATTCTGTAAAAATGTTGGTGTTCTGCTTTTCCTAATGTAAGTATACTTTTATGTTTGAGGTTTTAGTTTAAAAATTGATCATGCAGAAGGGAGGCATATCCTTTTTTAAAACAGTTGAAAAGTCAACGTACAGTAGCAGCAATATTTTCAACTCTCAACACCCTACGCAGACTGAATTTTATAATTGTGACACTGTTCAGAAAAAAAATACAGATTTCCTTATAAAAGAAGCACACAAGAAATATTGGTAAGTTCAGGAATTCCAGTTAAGAATATTGTTCTCCTTCCCAGCCTTGTACTTATGACAAAAACTCTGCTTGTGGTGGTTTGAACAGTTTTGTGAATTGCAGTCAGCTTTTAGTCCAGTGTTTGTTGTACAGAGTAAATTTGTTGATGTACCTGTACGCCATCTTGAGATTTTCATGGTTGTTGAAAAGAAGGTATTACAGCAGGATTCTGTGGTTTAAAAAAACTAGGCTTGTATACGGTATTTGACATTTATGTGCGGATAAAGACAGTTTGTGTGTGTGAAGAGAATAGCTCCTAAGACGTTCCTTTTACAGGGTGCATTGCTGCAGAGTTTTCAGCGTGAAATGTAAATTCTTTAATCACATTACATATTGGCCGTCTCTTGCATCAAATCCTCCATGAGATAAAAGAGTAAGACCGACACCATATCCCTCCTTGTAGCTCTGAATTGATATTAAAAATACAGTATTATGGAGATTGGCCATTGTCATCTTTCCATGTTTTTTGGACTCCTGTCACATGTTAGTCAAAGGGTTCTGGTTCAATACGTCTGACAAAAGAAAAAGCCATATAAGCCTGTTACCAAAGAAAACCCAAAGAACTTCTCTGGTGTAGACCTTTTAAGATCTTGGAGCAGGGTCAATTAACAACAAAATATATGCCCAAGAAACAAAAGAGGTCTTTACTATGTCCATTCAATCCTTCAAAAAGAAAAAGACTCTACATTTTAGAGAGAGCGATGTATCTCTCCTGATAGATGTGTTTTCTTCCCCAAAGTAAAATAAATTCTGCTGTAAAGCCTTCAGTAGGATATTGTTCCCAGGAGTCTCTCAGCTGGCACTGTGAGAACATTGCTCTAGGGCAATGAATGTGAAGGGAATCCTTTTTTCATAAGCAATCTCCAGTCATATGTTATCAGTCGTTTATTTATATCAAGGGAGTTGAATGTATCCCAATGTGTAATCTTTTGAAAATGTAAAGTTAGAATCCTGACAAATGACTGTAGATACGAAAGGCTGTGTAACCCATTGGGATCCTTTGTAATAGTACATCCGCCTCTTTGTGTTGTGTTTCAGATGTCAGATTAAGTAATCTTCCCATTTTTAACGCTGCTCATCACAAGGTTATGGAATGGAACTTTCTAATGTAGGCATTCTCCTTTGTTGCAGAAGAGAAGTTGCAGAAAGGGAGTAAGATCTTTTGATAAAACTAGCCAACATCCATAGTAAGTTGAGGAAAAGATTTAGGGTTGCATTGGTTTCCTACTTTCCAGTATGACTGTTCATCTCATTTAAGAAAAGGTTTTCAGAGTTCTTCACCTTTCCTTATAAGAATTCATTGTAGAAGCCTTCCCTGACCCAGAATAAGAACAGGGCTAGTTTGAGGTGTTAAGAATTACAAATGAATCTCTTCTGTCAATGCGAGAGTCCTACATCATGAAATATGAACTAAATTCCTTTTGAATCCTGTAGATCCTGTATGGTTTCTAGGGGTGAAAATGCTTCATTCATAGGTGCCAATTAGTTGGAGTACCCTTGATGTAAAAAACCTTTTTATTTTGCTTGTGTAGCCAGCAACCCTACTATAGCAGACCAACACGCCCTTGGGAATGAATAGAGGCTCCGGATTCTCAGGATACAGCCAGAGTATTTATTGAGTAGAGCTCTTCTCCCTTTCTCGCTCTGCAGCCCCAGCTTTGTCCGTCTCCTCAGACTTGAGATCTTTGTATCTCAGAATCTGAATCATAACCAACGCGTCAAATTTTAGTACCCCCTCCAAAAAAAGATCATATTGATTAACCTGGAGTTTCCAGCCCTGCTCTTGGAAATCCTGAATAACCTTTGTCTAAGATTTGGAACACAGTGAGTTACTGATCAATTTTGCGAGTAATTTGCTTAATTAAGGGAACTCCTCATATGTCCTTGAGGCCTGAGAGGTCTTCGTTTTTTTTTTGCAAATGATCTCTAAATTACTTTTTGCATTGAAAAAATCATCTATTGAATGGGTGTTAAGTGTTCCGGACCATTTGAAACTGACAATTTAAAGGTGACCTATATAAATCCTGCTGGGCTGGTGCTGTCCAGGACTAGGGTTCGAGACCCCCCCC